GGGGCCTGGATTGGAGTTGGGGGTGGGGGGCTGGGCAGGTGAGGTGTCTGGGAAGCTGGGACAGCGGACCCATCAGAGAGGTGGGAAGGACGAATGCATGGTGGCGCTTTGCAGTCATCATTTATTTATTGGTTTGGGGGCCACACCCAGCGATGCCCAGGGGCTACTCCTGACTGCGCTCAAGAATTACACCTGGCAGTGCTTGGGGGACCATATGGGGTGCTGGAAGCCGTACTATCTCCAGCCCCTTGAGACCCTGATTTAAAGGAGGTTCCGTGGCCAGTTTTCGGCTGAGTGCATGGGGTTCGCTAATAAGTGGCAGAGGGTGGCACAGAAAGCTGGTGCGTCACGGACGTGGAGGAACAGGGGAAACATGGGGCAGTGAGGGATGTTCAGAGTGATCAAGGCAGGCCCGGAAGCGTTCAGAGGGGTGTCAGTGGGAAGAGGGCCTGGCGGTGGGTTTAGAGGCACCATTCTTTGCCTTGCACGTGGCGCGGCCTACCCGGGTTCAATCCCCGGCATCCCTTATGGTCCCCTAGCACCGCCAGGAGCTATTCCTGAGTGCAGAGCCAGGAGTAACCCCTGAGCATCACTGGGTGTGGAGTCCAAAAAGCAAAAATAAAATAAATAGAGGTGCCATTCTCTGTGAGGCCCAGGAGAGTGGCAGCGAGGTGGCAGAGGCCAGACGGAGTCAAGATGGGCCTGCGAGGTGCTGGGATCCACGGGGAGGTGCGGGCTCAGGAAGGGAGGGGTGCGGCAGAGAACACCAGTTTTGCGCGAAGCTGGAGTGTGGAGGGCAGAATCAGGGCACTGGGGGCCGGAGCAACAGCACAGCAGGGAGGGCGTTTGCCTTGCACGTGGCGGACCCAGGTTCGATTCTCAGCATCCCATATGGTCCCCTGAGCACTGCCAGGAGTAATTTCTGAGTTCATGAGCCAGGAGTAACCCCTGTGCATCGCCGGGTGGGACCCAACAAGCGAAAAAAGAAAAAAAGAATCAGGGCACTGGAAGAGGCTGGGACTGAGGGTGGAGGGGAGAACGGCCCCCCCAGTGCCGGTGATGAGGGTGAGCGGGTGTGGATTGTGCCACCTGGAGGTCTAGGCTCTGGGTGGCTGGACTGGGATCCCGCAGGCCCCCTCAGCGTCAGGACCAGGGGTACAGCTGGGGCGGGGTCAGTTCCTACGGACTGGCCCCGGGGTCACCGAGCCTCCCCTGCTGTTCTCTGCCCGTGCCCCCCCCAGACACCATCCGGAAGATGAAGAACGACTTCCGGAAGATGGAGGACGAGATGGACCGGCTGGCCGCCAACATGGCTGTGATCACGGACTTCAGCGCGCGCATCAGTGCCACCCTGCAGGACCGCCACGAGCGCATCACCAAGCTGGCAGGTGGGCGCTCCCCCACCCCGGCCCCCGGCCCCCACCACCGTCTGGGTGGGCTCCCCCACCCTCGCGGGGCCCGGCCACTCACCCGCCACACCCTCCGGCCCCCGCAGGGGTGCACGCGCTCCTGCGGAAGCTGCAGTTTCTCTTCGAGCTGCCCTCGCGCCTCACCAAGTGCGTGGAGCTGGGCGCCTACGGGCAGGCCGTGCGCTACCAGGGCCGCGCGCGCGCGCCGTGCTGCAGCAGTACCAGCACCTGCCGTCCTTCCGCGCCATCCAGGACGACTGCCAGCTCATCACGGCGCGCTTGGCCCAGCAGCTGCGCCAGCGGTTCAGGTGGGCCCCGGCCCGCCCGCCCGCGCGGCCCCACCGAGCCCCCGGGGATCCCCCCCACCATCACCGCCTCCCGCTCCCCGCAGGGAGGGCGGCTCGGGCGCCCCGGAGCAGGCCGAGTGCGTGGAGCTGCTGCTGGCGCTGGGCGAGCCGGCGGCCGAGCTGTGCGAGGAGTTCCTGGCCCACGCGCGCGGGCGGCTGGAGGAGGAGCTGGCCAGCCTGGAGGCCGACCTGGGCCCGTCGCCGCCGGCCCCCCGACGTGCTGGAGTTCACGGATCGCGGGGGCAGCGGCTTCGTGGGCGGCCTGTGCCAGGTGGCGGCGGCCTACCAGGAGCTCTTCGCCGCCCAGGGCCCCGCGGGTGCCGAGAAGCTGGCGGCGTTCGCCCGCGAGCTGGGCGGCCGCTACTTCGCGCTGGTGGAGCGGCGGCTGGCGCAGGAGCAGGGCGGCGGCGACAACTCGCTGCTGGTGCGCGCGCTCGACCGCTTCCACCGGCGCCTGCGGGCCCCGGGGCCCCTGCTGGCCGCCGCCGGGCTGGCCGAGGCCGCCACGGAGATCGTGGAGCGGGTGGCCCGCGAGCGCCTGGGCCACCACCTGCAGGGCCTGCGGGCCGCCTTCCTGGGCTGCCTGACCGATGTGCGCCAGGCCCTGGCCGCGCCGCGCCTGGCAGGGAAGGAAGGCCCCGGCCTGGCCGAGCTGCTGAGCAACGTGGCCAGCTCCATCCTGAGCCACATCAAGGCGTCACTGGCCGCTGTGCACCTCTTCACGGCCAAGGAGGTGTCCTTCTCCAACAAGCCCTACTTCCGGGTACGCCCGCCCCACCAACTCTCTTCCTCCCGGCTCTCTCTGCTGGTCCTGAGGCTGCCCCCCAGGACACAGAGCTTCTCTGGATGTAGCTTCGCAGTGTCCTGTCATAGCCCCGGGTGGGGGGATGACACCCCTGATGTCTGTTGCAGGGTACCCAGTGTGGGCTCAGTCCCCTCAGACCTCCCCTGTTGCTGGGATACAAGACTCTTTCTTGGGGGGGGGCTGGGGCATTCAGGGTCCCTCCCCAGGAGGAGGGACCAGCTGGGAACCGGCTCCCACACCTCACAGGGCGAGTTCTGCAGCCAGGGCGTCCGGGAGGGCCTCATCGTGGGCTTCATCCACTCCATGTGCCAGACGGCCCAGAGCTTCTGTGACAGCCCTGGGGAGAAGGGGGGTGCCACGCCGCCCGCCCTGCTCCTGCTGCTGTCTCGCCTCTGCCTGGACTACGAGACGGCCACCATCTCCTACATCCTCACCCTCACGGATGAGCAGTTCCTCGTGCAGGTGAGCCGTCCGCACCTGGGGCACCGGGCCAGCACCCCAGGGCGTGCCCGGCACTCACCGCTGCTCGGCCCCGTGTCCCCGGCCAGGACCCGTCTCCGGTGACGCCCGTGAGCACACTGTGCACTGAGGCCAGGGAGACCGCCCGGTGCCTGCTGACACACTACGTGAAGGTGCAGGGCCTGGTCATCTCCCAGATGCTGCGCAAGAGCGTGGAGACGCGGGACTGGCTGAGCACGCTGGAGCCCCGCAACGTGCGGGCCGTCATGAAGCGGGTGGTGGAGGACACCACGGCCATCGACGTGCAGGTCTGCAGCCCCGGGCACGGGGGTGCTCCCCTCCACGGCCCCAGACTGTGGGGTCACGGGGTGCGGGGCCAAGGGTGGCTCTGAAGATGGAGAGGGGTACCAACTTTGGGGGGTGCTGGAGCTAAAGCCCAGAGCTGCTTGTGAAGTGTGAACCGCGCCATCAACCCTTAAGTACCAACTATATTTTTTAAGTGGGGGATGTTGGCCACATCCTGTGCTTGGTGCTAACTCCAGGCGCTGCACTCAGGAATCACTCCTGGTGGGACTCAGAGGATCCTGTGGGGTCTCAGGGATCAAACCTGGCTTGGCTCCAAACACCCCAACCCAACAACAAACCCTACTGTCTTCCCGGTTCTAAGTACTATTCCGTCCCACCTTTGCCCCCTCCACATGGCTCGTATTCATGGTGACCGAAATGATACCCAGTGGCCTCTTGAAACAGTGTATCTATCCCTTTGGCCCACTACTCCGGCCCCCCCTGCAGTACCTCCTCTCACCACCAGGTGGGACTCCTGTACGAAGAGGGCGTGCGCAAGGCCCAGAGCAGCGACTCGAGCAAGCGAACCTTCTCGGTGTACAGCAGCTCTCGGCAGCAGGGTCGCTATGCACCCAGCTACACGCCCAGGTCTGCCTCCCGGCTGCCCCGTGAGGCCCCAGGGGCAGCGGATAAAAGATGGGGGTGCACACAGGCTCTGATTGCATTTCTCCACCCTTGTCAGTGCGCCAATGGACACCAACCTCTTGAGCAACATCCAGAAGCTGTTTTCAGAGCGGATTGATGTGTTCAGCCCTGTGGAATTCAACAAGGTCTGAAGTCCCCGTGTCGCTGCCTTCCCGGGCCCTGGGTGGGGCTGGGTGGCTGCAGCAGACCTATGGAGCCCTCGAACTGACCCCTCTGCTGTCCCTGGGGGCCGTTTCTAGGTGTGCGTGGTGGTCCAGAGCCCCACCATCCACTTCATATGTGGTCCTTGGCCATGACCTTGCTTCTGGCCAGGATCTCGGTGCACCGCACACACGCCTGTCCTTGTCCCACAGTGCCATGCCCATCCCCTTCTTCCTGAGTCCATGTTCTGCCCAGCACAGGACTTAGTGCCCCCTTCTGACCCAGTGAGCCTCTTCCTGTCCGCCCCCGCCCCCGCCCTGGGTCTCCGAATCTCCTATCTTACTTTCCCTCTCCCTCCCCTTTGCTGCCCCTCTTAGCCCCTGCCTGGCAGGTGGGGCCGCGCCGCACTCCCCAACACCTGTGTCCCTGCCCGCAGGTCTCCGTGCTGACCGGCATCATCAAGATCAGCCTGAAGACGCTGCTGGAGTGCGTGCGGCTGCGCACCTTCGGGCGCTTCGGGCTGCAGCAGGTGCAAGTGGACTGTCACTTCCTGCAGCTCTACCTGTGGCGCTTCGTGGCCGACGAGGAGCTCGTGCACCTGCTGCTGGACGAAGTGGTGGCCTCGGCCGCCCTGCGCTGCCCAGACCCCGTGCCCATGGAACCCAGTGTCGTCGAGGTCATCTGCGAGCGCGGCTAGGCCCACCGCGGACCCCCTCCTCTCCCACCCTCGGATCCCCCAATAAAACTGTGTTGCCACCGCTGATTCGCCTCTCCCGGGAGCTGCGGGCCGGGCCGGGGCGGAGCTCGGAGACGCGCGTGGCGGAGACGGCGGCTGAGCAGCCCGCGCGGGTCCCGCCCCCGGCGCCGATTGGCTGCGCGGCTGGGCCCATGGGCAGGGGGCGGGCCGGGCTAAAGACCTCGGACAGCGGCGGCCGCTGTCCAGGGACAGGTGCAGCGCGGCGGGGCCCGATTCTCCGCGTCACCGAGCCCAGCTGGGGATGGGGTGGACTAAACCCTGACCGGCTTTTGGGAGCCTCAGCACCCCCGGAGGAGTAGAGACCATGGCCCCTCCTCGGGGCTCTCAGGCCCCACTGGAATTCGGGGGACCCCTGGGTAAAGGGGCAGGGTGGCCAGGGCGGGAGTGGGGGCGGGCTGGATGGAGGACGGCAGGCTCGGGAGAGCATCCCGAGAGAGGGTCTGGGCGGCTGCGGGACCCGTTAGGAGGGAACCGAGTAGGGATCCATAACGGGGGTGGCGGAGCGGAGACTTGGGGCGTGGCCTGGGGGAGCAGGAGGTGGGCTTGGGGACGGCAACCGAGACGGGACCACGGGAAGGGGCGTGGGGGCCGAGAGTGGGATCTGGGAGACGCGATGACAGTCCTTAGAGACGGCGGTGCAGCCTCCCAGACGAGGACTGGGAGCGGACGCGACGCCCTCGCCCCTTCCTGCAGGCGCCGCGGCGCTGCTGGTGCTGCTCCCGGCCACCATGTTCCACCTGCTCCTGGTGGCCGGCTCCGAGTCCGCGCGCATCCTGGCCCTGCCCACCTCGCTGCCGGGGCTGCAGGCGCTCTGGAGCCCCCGGGCGCTCCTGCTGTGTGTCACCTGGCTCGGCCTGCAGGCGGCGCTCTACCTGCTTCCCGCGCGCAAGGTGCGGGGCCTGGAGGGGTGGAGGTGAGGCCAGGGGGGCCGGGCAGGCGAGAGGGGAGCCCCCACTCAACCCTGATCGAGGCCTTTGTGACTGCAGGTGGCCGAGGGGCTGGAACTGAAGGACAAGAGTCATCTCCGTTACCCCATTAACGGTGCCTGGGGCGGGGGGGGGGGGGGCGGTGGTCCTTGAATTAAGAATTGCAGGGTAGGGGGCTCGGCTCCAGGCACGGTGCGGGGCACAAAAACGCAGCCCGACCGCATTCCACCCCTTTTCCACCTGGGAGGCGTTTGACCACACCCCTTGTCTCACCTTCCCGCCCCTCCCCCTCCCCGTTTCCTGTGACTGCACCCCATCGGCGGTGCCGCTAACCCTCTCATGGCTGGGGTGAGGTCTATGACATGGGGTCTTGGGGCTGGAGGGGTGGGGTGGCAGGGGATAGTCTGGAACTCACCGTGGGCTGCTCATCAGGCTTCCAGGCCCTGGTGCTGACAGCCCTGCTGGTGGGTCTGGGGGTGTCGCTGGGCCTGCCGCTGGGAGCACTGGCGGACATGCTCTTCCCCTTGGCATTGGCCGCCACCCTCATCGCCTTCATCTTCAGCCTCCTCCTCTATCTGAAGGCTCTGGCAGCTCCTGCCCAGGACCTGGCACCCGGGGGAAGCTCAGGTGAGAGGGACACAGTCGGGTTGGGCAGAGACAGATGGTGGGGTTCGGCGCCCCTCACCCTTCATTATTCTCCAGGCAATCCTATTTACGACTTTTTCCTGGGACGGGAGCTCAACCCGCGCATCGGTTCCTTTGACTTCAAATATTTCTGTGAGCTGCGGCCTGGCCTCATCGGCTGGGTATGCTGGGCGTGTGTGGCCAAGCCGGCTTCTGGCCAGGAGGTGGGGGCGGGGTTGGGGGGACGGATGGACACTCAGAGTTTTGGCAGGGCAGAGCCAAATCAGGCAGAAGCACATTCCACAGTGTTGGCCGAGTCCTTGTGTCTAGGTACCGGGAGACACAAAGCTACAGGAAAGAAAACAAGACCCGGAGTCTCCATCCAAGCAGAGCAGAGAAATAGGACTAGAGGGCTGGAGCAGACAGTACAGCAGGCAGGGCGCTTTCTCGCATGTGGCCAACACGGGTTCGATTCCCTGCACCCCATACGTTCCTCTGAGCTCCACCTGGAGCTGATCCTTGAGCACAGAGCCAGAAGTCCTGAGCACAGCTGGATGTGACCCCCAAACAAAACAAAGCAAAAGGGATCTTTGGGGGCTGGAGAGGTAATACAGTCTGTAGGGCACTTGCCAGGTTTGATCCCCAGTATCCCCTGTGTTCCTCTGAGCCTCACCAGGAGTAATTCTTGAGTGTGGGAGTAAGCCCTGAGTGTCCCTGGGTGGCGAGAGAGAGAGAGAGAGAGAGAGAGAGAGAGAGAGAGAGAGAGAGAGAGAGAGAGAGAGAGAGAGGTGCTTGCCTTGACCCAGGTTCAATTCTAGAACCTTATTTGTCCCCTAAGCGTCACCAGGAGTGATCCCTTAGCACAGAGTACTGCTGGGTGTGACCCAAACTCCTCTCCCATGAAAAGAAATAAAAAGGAGCTAAGTCAGGGTACTGAGGGCTGGGAGGAGAAACGGGGCTGGCAGGACGGGCCTGAGCAGGTGCAGCTATAAGTAAAGCCGGTCAAGTGCAAAATCTATTTCAGGGTGAGGGGAGGGTTGTGCAGGGCTAGAACGCATGGGCGGGCTTGGCAGCTGGCCAGTCCAGGAGGCCTTGACAACTTTCCAACTGTGCTTCTGATTCCGCACTCCTGCTGGACTGTGGTCCTGGTTTCCAAAGCAAATCCCGGGCAAGGTCCCTCCTGTCACTCTAGAAATCACTAGCTCCTGAGTGTCCCCTACCCCCATCTGGCCTTCTCTTCAAGGATGGTCTGAAGAAGGCCACTGTGGGCTCATCAGAGGGCCCTTGAGTGCCTCAACCCAGAGCCTCAAGCATGGGGGTGTTGCACTGCCTGAGGGCCCCGCATTTGGGCCGGGAGCCTGCAGACCCCTGGGGGCAGGGCGGGTTCTGGCCAGGGCAGTCACCTGCCCACCCAAGGAAGCTGACTCAAGCCAGGTATAACCCTGGAACCTGGATTGTTTGATGACTTCCAGGGCTGCCCCGGGAAGGGCACACTAGTGAGAGCATGCACGGGTGACACCGGGCTGATCCCTTTCCACACAGGACCCCGCTGAGAAGGAAGGGGGCTTCAGGGGCTGGGCTGGGACCAGGATGTGCTCTCTCCTCCCAGGCCCTCATCAACCTGGCACTGCTGATGCAGGAAGCCAAGCTCCGGGGCAGCCCCTCACTCGCCATGTGCCTGGTCAATGCCTTCCAGCTCCTCTACGTGGGCGACGCCCTCTGGCATGAGGTGAGGCGGGACTGGGCGGGAGATGGTGTCTGAGGAGCCCTCGGGGGCTCAGCGGCTACCGGGTGCCGGCCCTGCAGGAGGCGGTCCTCACGACCATGGACATCACCCACGATGGCTTTGGCTTCATGCTGGCGTTTGGCGACCTGGCCTGGGTACCCTTCACCTACAGCCTGCAGGCCCAGTTCCTGCTGCACCATCCCCAGCACCTGGGGCTGCCCCTGGCCTCCGTCATCTGCCTCATCAATGGTCAGTGGGGGTCAGCAGGGCACCTCCTCCTTCCCACCTTCCGTCCCTCGCTGTTCCTCTGGGCCACTAAGTGGGATTGAGTCAGTTCCTTCTGGAAGCCTTCGACTGGGGCTGGGATGGGGACCTTGGGGGAGCTCTCATTTCACCTAACCTCACCCTGACCCCCACTTCCCTGGTCCCCAGCCGTTGGCTACTACATCTTCCGAGCGGCCAACTCCCAGAAAAACACCTTCCGAAAGAATCCCTCTGACCCCAGTGTGGCAGGTGAGCTGGGGTCTAGGGACCAGGAGACGGGGCGGCTGGGCTCCGGGACCCCCTGCCCACTGCCTGTCATTCCCCAGACCTGGAGACCATCTCCACAGCCACGGGACGGCAGCTGCTGGTGTCGGGGTGGTGGGGCATGGTTCGCCACCCCAATTACCTCGGAGACCTCATCATGGCTCTGGCCTGGTCCTTACCCTGCGGTGAGTGGCTGGGGCAGGGGGCCACTTGTGAGAGGCAGGAAGTGATGCCAGTCTGGGTGTGGCACGAGCAGAGGGCGGACCCCTGTAGAGGGAGTTGGGCAGGAGGTGGGACTGACTCCACTGGGGCAGCCCGGCTGGCACTTCCAGCACCTTGGGTCACCCCTTATTAAGCGTGGGAGCTTTGGACACAGGGCAACTGACGGTGGGGTACGGTGCCCCTCTCCCTCAGGGGTGTCCCACCTGCTACCCTACTTCTACCCCATCTACTTCACCACGCTGCTGGTCCACCGGGAGGCCCGGGATGAGCGTCAGTGCCTACAGAAGTACGGCCGGGCTTGGCACCAATACTGCCAGCGGGTGCCCTACCGCATCGTGCCCTACATCTACTGAGGCAGCAGCCATGCCCAGGATGGCCATGATCCCGCGTCCCTTGAGACTCTGGCAGGGGCCCTGCCCTGAGCCCCCAGAACAGCCTCTGCGAGGCGAGGCACCTGGAGGGAAAGAAGCTGGCACCCAGGGGGCGCAGGTTTCCCTCTCTCTTGGTGAATAAACATCTAGAACCTTCTCTCCGGAAGCTTTTTCTCTCTTTCTGGGACTTAATAAACCCTGCGGGTGGGAATGGGGGGCCCAGAGAGATAGTTCCGGGGTTAAGGCACTTGCTTTCTGCCTTTCTTACCCGGGTTCTATCACCCACCCCCTACAAAGAAACCCAAACGGGCTGGGTCTGCCTTGACGGGGAGTACCCAAGAAGCGAGTTGTGCGTTCAAGTGTCCGGGGTTAAGCCAGGCATGGTGGTCACTCAGAAACGGCCGCAAGGTCACAGCTTTATTTTATGCCACGGGCTCCGGCGATCAGCCGGGGAGTTCCTCGATGAGAGTCCTCGGTGCTGGCGGCATCGGGCCCCCCCAGAGCCGCTCCAGCTCCCCGGTGAGCTCGGCCACCTCCTGGGCGGCGGCCTCGTGGGCCCGGTGGGCCTGGGCACACTGCAGGGCCAGGGGCGTCAGGGCCGCCTCGTTCTCGTTGGTCCAGGCCAGCAGGTACTGGCACTTCTTCCGCGCCCGGTACAGGCGCTCTCGCTCCTCGGCGGTGGCGGCCAGCTTGCGGGCCCGGCCCAGGCTCCGCGCCAGGTGGCCCAGCGCTGCCAACGTGTAGCGTTTCTGCGTGGCCGGGCCCTCGCCCAGCAGGATGCGGGCGGCCTCGCGCATGGCGCCCCGCGTGCCCAGGGGCCCGGGCGGGTGCTCGCCCGCCTCCAGCACGTGCGCGGCGGCCTGCAGGGCTTCCTCGGTGGAGGCGAAGACTTGCTGGGCGCCCAGGGCTCCGGACACGCCGAGCAGCGTGGCGCAGAGGTCGGGCAGCAGCGCGGCGTCGTCGCCGCCGTGGTACAGGGCCAGGGCGTGCGCGTAGGCGAACAGCACGTTGGGCAGCTGGAAGCGCACGAGCGGCGAGGGGCGGCCGCGGCTCAGGCTGGCCAGCGCCGGCAGGTCGGCGGGCGGCGGGGGCGCACGGACGTCGGGGGCGTCTCCGAGCGGCGGATCGGTGCTGCCGGGCTCCGTGGCCGCATCCTCCTTGGGGTCCAGGGGCGCCCCGGCGGGTGTCGGCTCCGGAGCGGCGGGGGCAGGGCCCGGGGCATCACCCAGTTCTTCTAGAAGCCGCGGCTGCGTCCCGCGGCCCCACCACCATGGGCGCCACGGGGGCAGCAGCCGGCCGGCCTCGCCCCGGCTCAGCAGCCGCTCGAAGGCCGCCTGGTCGGCGGGGGCCAAGCGCTCCCAGAGCCCCGAGAGGGCCCCGGGCCCCGGGCCGGCCCTGAGGCCCGCGTCCTCGGCCTCGTCCTCGGCCTCGCGTTGCTCACGGAGCCGGCGCAGGGCGCAGGCCAGGCGGCTGGGCGAGGCGTGGCGGCCGCGGAGCTCGCCCAGCACCTGGTCGCGGTAGAAGGCTTCGGCGCAGCTGCCGTGCGCCCGGTAGCAGCGCAGCGAGCAGTAGGGCACGTTACAGCGCGGGCAGGTGTAGCGCGCCGGCTGCGCCTCCCCGGCCGCCGGGCAGAAGGCGCAGGGCCCGGCCGGTTCCATGGCAACTGGCGGCGCGCGCCCTCGCACGCGGCCCCGCCGCTTCCGGCGCCTCCCGGCGACTTCCGCCCGCACCAGGGAGCCGAGCCCCGCCCACGCGACTGCGCACGCGCAGGAAGAGCTGGTGCAGGTCCAGCCCCGCCCGTGCCCGGCCCAGCTCGCCGCCCAGTGGCTGCGTGTCTTCCTTCCCACCGTTTGTCCCAGACCTGAGAGCATCGTGGGTTGATGTTTGTTGGGCCTGTCGGGGTCAGGGGGAGATAGATTTCAAGAGTGCGAGAACGGGAGATGGTACTGGAGTTAAGTCGCTTGCCCTGCTGATCGGGTTTCCGCTCCCTGGCACCACATAAGGTCCTGCCAGTCTGACCCCTGAGCACAGCAGGCTGTGACCGAAAGATCAGGTGGTTTTTTTGCTTTGTTTTGTTCTGATGTTTTTTTAAAAAGAATGGAGGAGGGCCGGAGCGATAGTACAGCGGGTTGGGCATTTGCCTTGGACGAGGTGGACCCACGTTCGATCCCCAGCATCCCATATGGTCCCAAGCACCGCCAGGAGTAATTCCTGAGTGCAGAGCCAGGAGTAACCTCTGAGCATCGCTGGGTGTGACTTAAAAAGAAAAAAAAAAAAGGAAAATGGAAGAATGACTAAGATGGGTTAGCGAGGGTGTGAAAGGCACTTTCCCTTGTCAGGAGAAATCAGCATTTCTCTGTAGCAAAGGTTCAAATGTCCAGTTTAGTTTCCTTCTCCACACCTCTGCTCCAATCACCAGCTGTCGTTGTATCACTGTATCGCTGTCATCCCATTGATCGTCGAATTACTTGAGCAGGTGCCAATCACATCTCTATTCCTCCCAGCCCTGAGATTTTAGCAGCCTCTTCTTTTCCCAGTGATTGGAAGCTCCTTTAGGATCAGGGGAATGAGACCTATTTTCGTTACTGTATTTGGCATCTCAAATACACTACGGGGAGCTTGCCAGGCTCTGCCTGTGTGAGTGGGATACTCTTGGTAGCTTGCCGGGCTCTCCAGGAGGCATAAATGGGTAGAAAGTGTCTTAAAATGTGCCGTGCAGCCACTTCCTGGAAAAGGGCCTGGAGCATGGCGGTGGTTGAGCAGTGGAGGTTGGCTGCTGGAGCTGGGTCCCTTGGGGTTGGGAAGGCTCTCACCTACCCCACAGCCTGGTGATGAGTCCTGGGAGCCTCCCTTTATACTCCGTCTGGGAGAAGCATCTGTGATTTCTGGAGGGTGGTCGATGAAGAGATTATCTGGTGCCGGCACCAGGCTGTGGGACAGGTGAGAGCCCTCCCCACCCCCAGGGTACCCAGTCCCGGCAGCTGACCTCCACTGCCATTCTTCCAAAATGCCACGTATGCCAATCAGTACTTCCTTAATATTGATGACCATAGAAGCTGGCCTTGTTTTGGGACCACACTTGGTGGGACCCCAGCTCCCCAACAATGTGTTCCACCCCTTTGAGCTACGGCCTTAAGAGTGCTCCTATCCCCCCACGATCACTTGTCCCAAGACTAGGATGGCACTACCTTAATTCGTTTTCTAACATTTGCCCAGAAAATGTGGCCAGAAAAATCAGATCACAGAAGGCCCTTTACTTGAAACCCTTCCTCCTGGTCTTGGACTTGGGATTGACAGGAACCAGTTCTGCCACACCTGTGGGTGGCGCTCAGGTCTCATCCATCCTCCCAGTGTCCAACTCCAATCCCACCAACACACCCTTAAAGTGACGAGTTTCTGTTTCCCCACAGGAATGGAAGTTCCTAGGAAATTCGTGTCTTTCTATGAGGCCAGTGTGCTTGCCTGCTGGCAGAGGCTATTCTAAACACTGAAGTCTTTTTGTTTTGGTCTTACCCAGTGATGCTCAGGAATTACTCCTGGTTGTGCCAGGAAGTTTTCCTGGCGGTGCGGTGCTAGCGGGAAACATATGGGATGCTGGCGATCAAACCCAGGTCCACTGCATGCAAGGTTAAAGCCTCACTTGTCATACTATCGCTCCAGTTCCATACTTGAATAGCCTTATTCTCCCCCAAGTTCTGGAGACCGTAGCATGGAAACAGCCAGCCAATAAACAGAGCAAGGATATGACAGAGTAACCCAGAGCCCTGAGCTGGATTTCAAGAATCAGCAGGTCCACAAACTCAAGCAGAGGTCGTGAATTTATGCCCCACCAGAGGAACACTGAAACCAGCCCGAGTCCTTTCCAAAGTGGGGCAACTGGTGCCCTGTCAAGGGGGTCACCTGATTGGTTCCCATTATCTCGTTTCTTTGTGTGGGAAGCCAGGGGAGAGGGGCCCACATCTGACTATGCCCAGGGCTTACTCCTGGCTCTATGTTCAGGGGACCATATGGGATGCTAGGATTGGAGCCCAAGTACACTGTGGGCAAGGCAAATGCCCTCCACCCCTGCACTATAGCTGTGGCTCTAATTGTGTTTCTAAAAATGGGAAGAGGGGCCGAGCATTTGCCTTGCATGCACCTGACCTGTGTACTTTTCTGAGCCCAGTAGATGTGCCCCCCCCCCAAAAAAAAAACAATAAAAAAACCCAACACAAATAACAAAAAAATTTGGAAGAGGCAATATTGACAGGTTTTTGTCATCAGTCCCAAGCACCACCAGGAGTAGCCGCTAAACAATACCATGACCCCAATCATTCCCTCCAAATACTTTTTGTTTTTGGGCCACAGCTGCCTGCACTCAAGATCACTCTTATAGGGCTATGGGAACCATACGAGCTGCCTGCAAGGCAAATACCCTATCCCTGTACTCACTCCACCCCCTCCAAAACTCCAAATGCATTTTATGGGGGGGGGCACATCAGGTTTTTGGGGGACCATTTGGTGTGCCAGAGACTGAAACCCAAATGGCTGCATGCAAGGCAAGTGCTAGATCTGTTTTGCTATACTAGGGTTCCCAACCCCTTCTTAATACTTTTTTCTTTTGCTTTTTGGGTCACACTTGGCAATGCACAATACTCCTGGTGGTGCTCAGGGGATGCTGGCATTCAAACCCGGGTCAGTTGCATGCAAGGCAAACGCCCTAGCCGCTTTGCCATTGCTCCAGACCCCCAAATACTTTTTTTTTTTATTACTCCTTTGCTTTTAACAAGGACCTGGAGAAGATCACCATACTTTTCAGGTCTGGAAATATCTCTCAAGTCTGTCTGAAGGGCAAGCACCAACAGCCATCAATTTCCCCAGGAAGCATCCCCCTGTAGCTCACCACTTCTTCCCAAATTGGAGGGTCCCTGCCTTTACCCTACACCAAGGCTGTTAAGTCACCCCTGACACCCTCACACAAAGACGCAACACGGGAGCCATCTGGACTATGCGCGGCTTTATTCCGAAAAGCCAGGATTACAGAGTTAGGAGTTGGCATTGGGACCTTTCTTCTTGCCGAAAGTGGGCACCACATTGACAAAGCGCCGGTTGTACTGCATCCGCCGCTTGGCCCGGCCCGTCTTCTTCTTCTTCTTCTCCTGCTTGGCCACCTGGGGAGAGAGAAGTGGGCGGTCAGAGCCCTCTCACCTATGCACAGAGCTGGGGGGGGGGGGGGGGCGGCCAAGGATGTTGACTGGGCACAAAGGCCGCCCGCCTCCTCGCACTTACCTTGGGAGTCTGGCCTCTCACTTTCCCCGCGCGGGCCAGAGAGCCATGGACTTTACCTGTGGGTGAAAGCAAAAACCATTAATTCTGTCTCCCACGGCCCTTGGCAATTCCTCGGGAACAAAAAAAAAAAAATGGGGCGTGGGGTGGGAATCGCGCACGGGATTTCCCCCGCGCCGTAGGACCTGACGCTCCCCGGCAACTCACCTCCCAGCATGCGGCCGGCGACCTCCAGAGTGGTCAGCGCCTCCACCCCGCACTGGCCCAGGGTCGCCTCATCCTCCAGGGGCGTGCCGGCCAGGAGGATGACTTGGTCTTCCGGGGCGATGCCCTCCAGCGAGGCTACATGACTCTACGGCGGGACATGGGGGGGGGGGCTCTGAGTCTGCGCGCGGCGGGGCGCCCGCGTCCACCCCAGCTCCCCCCGCCCCCGGAGACCGACCACCGCCCAGGCGGCGACCCCGCAGGCTCACCTTGATTTGGGCGACCGTCTCTTGGCCGGTCACCTCGAGGGTGTGGAGCTCCTGAGCGCGGACAAAAAGCTGCATGTCGGCGACTGCGGGGGGAGGGGGAGGGAAAAAGGCTTGTTGGCGACGAAACGCTCTTAAACGGGGCGTGGGGCACTGGGGCGGCGGGTGGGAGACGAGCTCTTCGGCTTCGGAGGGTCCAAGGGTCGCGGTCTCACGTGGGTTGAGCCGCGCCGACCGGGAAGATCCGACGAGAAACCAAAACTGGCCCGCGGGCGGCCCCGCTCTCCTCCTCTCCGCCCGCGCCCCGTGACCCGGCACCCACCAACCGTGGCCCGAGAGCCTCCAGGTCCAGCCAAAGTCCAAATCTTACCTGGACCGCGGCTGCCGCTGCCGCTACCGCGAAGATGGAGTCGAGAAAGAGGAAGGAGCGAGGGCGCGCACGTCCCCACCGCCTCTTGCGTGCCGCGTCACTGCCAAGCGACCGCCGCGCGTGCCTGTTTATCCCGCCCCCTCGCGCATTGCGCAGGCGCGCCTCCGGGACAGGGCGGGGCGCGCCGGAAGGGGCGTGGCCATGGCGGCTGCGCGCGCACCAGACGAAGGTCAGGGGGCGGACCAAGATGGCGGCGGCCGTACTCCGCGCTGTCCGTCGCGGCTGGAGGACGGCCGTGCGGCCCGGCTGCGGGCGGCGGCCGCTGGTGAGAACGCTGAGACCGGGGCAGAGGGCCGGAGGGGGACTTGTGTGTGACCTCGGAGCCGCGTGCTTGCCAGAGAACTGCCGGGGCGTGGAGGGAGCAGCGGGATGTGGCGGAGCCGGGACCTGGCGGGAGGCCACCCGGGTTCAGGTCGGGCGGGGTGGACAGCAGCTGCGAGGAGCAGCTGCGTCAGCGCAGCCGATCGGCCCCAGATGTTTGGTAGCGCCGGCTGGGAGCCCGGAGCCCCGCGAGCCGCCGTTATGTGAAGAAGGCTGGGCAGGCGGCGGGGCATGACCTGCCCTAGATGGTTTTCCAGCGTCTAGATTTTCCTTGGATGTAAAGAGTTGATAGGGCAGAAGCGCTGGTACAGCGGGGAGCGCGTTTGCTTTGCACGCGGCCCACCGGGATTCGATCCCCAGCATCATCCCATATGGTTCCCCCGAGCGCCGCCAGGACTGATTTCCTGAGTGCAGACCTCGGGCATCGCTGGGAGTAGCCCAAAAAGCCAAAAAGCAAAACAAAAACGAGGAGTTTAAATAAAGTACCCACTTGGTCGCTTTTTATTTTATTGGCCCACCGTGAGATAGACCGTTAAAAAGCTATTCGTGATTGGGTTTCAGTCATACAGTATTCCCACACCCATTCCGTTCACCAGTGTACGTTAACCACCACAGTGTCCAAGTTTCCCTCCCACCCCACCTCCATCTTCCCCTGCCACCTCTACCCCCCCTTCAGTGGTTGGTGCGGTCGCTTTTTTTTTTTTTTTTTTTTGCTTTTTGGGTCATACTTGGCGATGCACAGGGGTTACTCCTGACTCTGCACTCAGGAGTCACTCCTGGTGGTGCTCAAGGGACCATATGGGGTGCTGGGAATCAAACCCACGTCGGCTGCGTGCAAGGCAGACGCCCTACCCGCTGTGCTGTTGCTCCAGCCCCTTGGTCACATTTTAAAGGTTCTAAGGAGTAAGTGGAAATATCTCTCAGCCCAGGTTATTACAGTGCCCAAAGATTTCTGTAGGAGACCAGAATGTTGCGGGCATGGAGGCTGTCACTGCATGAGTGTAGTGGGGAACCATTGCTGTTGCTGACAATGACTAATTCTTAAGTAGATTTTGATGTGTGTGGCGAGGGGAAGGTGTTGGCGCCACACCCGGTGGTGCTCAGGGGTCACCGCTGGCTCAGTGCTCTGGGATTACTCCTCGCAGTGCTCGGGGAACTGCCTAAATGGTGCTATGCCAGGCACTTAACAGGTCACTTGTGGACAAGCGTCTAACCCTGTATTATCTCTCCAGCCCTTTAGAATGTTTAAAGGACTCTACTGGAAAACGCATTATTGTCTCTGTCCGTCATTTTTTGTTTTTGGGTGGGACACACCCAGCAGTGCTCAGAGATCACTCCTGGCTTTGTGCTTGGGGATCATACCTAGCGCAGCTCAGGGGACCATATGTGGTGCCAGGGTTCCATTAAAAACCCTGGTTGGCCACGTGTAGAGCAAGCATCTTACACGCTGTACTATCATCAGCTTTTTTTTTTTGCAGGGGGGGGGTCACATCCAGCGTTGCTCAGGGGTTGCTCCTGGCTCTGCACTTAGCAATTACTCCTGGTGCTCAGGGGACCATATGGGATGTCAGGGATCGAATCCGGGTCGACCGCATGCAAGGCAACCGCCCTTCTGGCTGTACTGTCGCTTTGCCCCCCTGTCATTGCCTTTTATTTCTATAGTCTCTGGAACAAGCAGTTCCTTTCTCTGTTTACCAAAGTTCCTCCCATCCTGGGTGGGTGAGGAGAGACTACGCTGATCACATTTATTTATTTTTTTCATTCTTGTCGCAGAGCCAGGCCCAGGGGCCTCCCAGTTACCGCGGCTTCATGGAGTCTGTGGATGAGTACCAGTTTGTGGAGCGCCTGTTACCCCCCACCAGCATTCCAAAGCCCCCCAAACACGACAGTTATCCTACTGCTAGTGGCTGGCAGCCCCCCAGAGGTAGGCCTGGAGGGTGAAGGATTGGCATGGGGAGGAAACGTCCCTTCCTCAGGGCGGAGGGCCTGCAGCGGCTGGGTTCAGACCTGCTGAGATGGTGCCGAGGTCCTTCGGGATGGGCTCGTTATTGCAGGGATGTACCTGGACTGGAGCTCTGCTTTACTAGTGTTTATCTAGCTCTGCTGCTGGGGTGAGGGCACCCCAGAAGGAAGCTGAGGCTCAGAGGATCCTCAGGAGGCCCTGCTCCCTCGAGTAGATCCTGTCGGCCCGTTGACAGTCCAGCTCTGGAGTTGGGTGGTTCCGTGATGCGATTGGACTTTGCTCCGTCCCTCCAGTTTGTTTGTTTGGGGGCCATGACCGGCAGTGCTCTGGGTTTACTTCTGGCTCTGCACTCCCCGGGGTTCCAGGGACCACATGTGGTACCAGGGATTGAACCCGGTGAGGCCCGTGCAAGGCCAGCACCCTCCCTGCTGGACTGTTACTTTCGGCCTCAGTGCCTGTAGGATCTTGAGGTAGTCACTGAGATTTTGCTTGTGTGTTTTGGGGCCCTCACCTGACAACGCTCTTGGGGTTCCTTCTATTCACTTCTGACAGTGCTTGGGAAACCAGAGAGGACAAAAACAGGATTGTGCCCCAAGTGAGTGTCCCTTCAACAGAGCCCACTGGAGGCAGAGCGTGGCGCTTGGCGCTTAAGCCCGCCCCTTCCTGGCGGAGGTCAGTTTCAGCACCCCCCCACCAGAGATGCAGAGTTGGTGGCCCTGACTTATGTCTCCTTCAGCACCTGCTGGTTCCAGGCCAGCACTCTGGCACCATGTGGAGTACAGCGTGACCAGGCACTGGCCTTGCACAGAGATCAGGTCCCCTTCCCTGGAGTCACGTGACTGCATCCTGGGATAAGGCGACTAACCCCCACCCTCCCTCACAGACCCTCCCCCCGACCTGCCCTACTTCGTGCGGCGCTCTCGGATGCACAACATTCCCGTCTACACGGACATCACGCACGGCAACCGCCAGATGACCGTGATCCGGAAGGTGGAGGGGGACATTTGGGTGAGTGTCTAACCTCACCCTTCCCCCGGCCGGCGGGGTGGTGGGCCCTAGTGGGTTAGGCCCCTGACTGGCCCCTCTCTCCTCTGCTCCCAGGCCCTGCAGAAGGACGTGGAGGAGTTTCTGCGCCCGCTGTTGGGCAAGACACCCGTCACTCAGGTCAACGAGGTGACAGGCACCCTGCGAATCAAGGGCTACTTTGATGAACCCCTTAAAGCCTGGCTGCTGGAGAAGGGCTTCTGAGGGGGATAGGCCAGACCTCGGAGGGCCTCAGGAAGGAGGGAGGGAGGGAGCAGCTAAGATGGGGCACAGAGTTCGGGGATAAGGACCTGGGCAGGGCAGAGCTGGGCACTGGGGCCATGTGCAAGAACACTGGGAACCCTCTAAGATGGCCCAGCACCTGGGCACCATTAGCTAACGTGTGTCCCGCCCCCAAGCAGACCCCCAGCTTTGGCCTGTTGCCCTTGTTCATACTTCTGACCCGGTTTCCCGTTGTGGAGGTGGGCTGACGTCCACCCCACTCCCACCACAGCGAACATCCCATGGCCCTTGTTCTCACGGTGACTAATAGTGGTCCTGGGGGTCAAGTCCTAAGAGTGGTGCCAGGCATCAGACATGGAGGGCCCATGTTAGCCTGAAGAACACCTGGGCCTGCTGCTTGCCCAGTGCCCCACTGGAGGGGGCATCAACTGGCCAGCTCCTGGCCACAGCTCCCTCTGTCTGGGCTAGCTGCCCCCCCTCCGGAGCGTCCTCCCTTCCTGCTGGCTCCTTTCTGGAGCCCAGGCCTGTGCTCTCAGCTGACCCCCCTGCCCTGTATCAGCTGGACCGCAACTCCCTGTAAAGGCCTGAGCTCAGTGCTTGGGCACTGGCTTCTGGAAGCAACTCGCCCTGCCCCCAGATTCCAGACTGTTCTCCGGCCGCCCTGCTGCTGGGCAGGCCCTCACCAGCCCCACCGGTCTGTAATGCAAGTTTTTATTCAGCTGTATATACAATTCAAGCTAGTAAAATTTGTACAATATTTACAAATTAAATAATCATCTGAAACTGTCTCCAGCAACTCTTGTAACACAAAACTGGGGTGTTGGTGGGGGTGGAAAGAGGTGATGACACTGGCGGGCGAGCCTCGGCTCCAGGGGTCCCTGCCCCGCCCCTCTGCACCTCTTTCCTGGGTTCAAGCATTCAAAGTCAAAGACAAAATTTAAGCCAAAAAGACAACAGCGGGGAAGTAATTCCAATTCTTCTGAACTCCAGGAGACTCTGGGAGCCAAGAAGCAGCGTCTGGAGGTTTGGGGCCCACAGTGGTTCAAGTGCAGACACGCCCGCAGCCTGCAGGGGCTGGGCAGTGGCTGCCGGGGAGCAGCAGGGCAGGGCCCCCCCCAGGCTCTCCACCCCGAGATGTGCGGTAAGACACAGGCGGGCCGCAGAGGGGTCCCGCGGGGCGGGGGAGGACGTTGCGTACCCGTCTTGGTGAGTGGCCAGGGCATGTGCTCCTGGCCTGCGTCCACCCCGAGTCCCCCCGGGAACGGCACTAATACTGTCCAGCACTGCACAGCAACTGCGCACACGAGTGGGGGTGCGGAGAGGGCCATCCTCACCCGGTGGGGGGACAGGACCTCTCAGAGGTCACGCCTTCTGCCTTCAGGGTCCCCACAGCGCTGGAGAGGGAGGCGGGGGACCCCAGACCCCAGGACTGTCAGGCCCTCAGGCCTCTTCCCACTGGCCCTTGGGTCTCGCGGGCTGACTCCCTGGCACGGAGGGAGTTGGCACTTGGTGGCAGGACGCGTTCCAGAGAGGGGGCAGGGCCAGGGCGGGGTGCTGTCAGTGTGTCACCGGGGACTCGAGCTTCTGCAGGCGGCGGCGGCGGAGCTCGGCGGCGTCCGGCTCTCCGTCCTCCAGCTGCTCCTCGGCGCCGGCAGCGCCCACCGACTCTGGGGCTGCAGATGGGCAGGTCAGAGGGGTCTGTCCCCGGGCCCTGACCCCCCCCACCCCCCACCGACCCCACTGGCTGACGTTACCCACCTGGAGGCTTTTCGGGTTCTGGGGCTGGGGAGGAGGCTCCTGGGGCTGAGGGGGCCGCCTCGGAGCTGGGGGTGCTGGTGGAGGCCGCCGGGGTGACAGCGGTGGGGGCAGGCTCTTCAGCAGGGGACACAGAGCTGGCGGGCCGGGGCGGCCTAGGGAGAGAAAGGCCGATGTGATAGGAGTAAGGGGCCGCCCCCACCCCCCGGGGACCTGCAGGGCCACTCAAACTGAGTCTCCGGCCCTCGCAGCGAGGAAGCCACTGCTGGCCGTGTCCGCGCCAGGCCAGGCTCTGGCCCGGGAGGTGGCACTCTCTGGGAAGCCACCCAAGGCCTGAGGCAGTACTCGTGCTCAGACCACGACGGGTCGGGCCCGCCAGCTACCGAGCCTCTAGCAGCTCCCCGGGGGAACCAGAAGTCCAGGCGTCCTCCACGGCGGCCGTGCCTGAGGGGCCGGGGCAGGCACGCTGGCACCGGCCCGGCCCGTGTGGGACGTGGCTGTGGCTCCCAGCAGGACTTAGCCCCGCGCCCGGGCCGTACCCCAGGGAGGCGAGCACGGTGAGGTACTGGTTGATCTGCAGCATGGCGGCGTCCAGCAGCGTGTGGATGTTGCGCAGACTCTGCAGCCGCGCCTCCAGGTGCTGCCGCTCGTGGCCTTCCAGCGCGCGCAGCTCCTCGGGGGTCAGCCCGGCGAAGCCGGCGGGGGGCACGGGCATCGGGGGGAAGGCTGCGGAGAGGCGGGGGTCAGCCGGGATGCTGAGGGCCTGAGCCCCGCTCCCCACCCTCCGGAGAGCCCGCTCACTCACCGAAGGGCGGCGGCAGGGGCATGCCCATCCAGGGAGGCGGGAACGGGAAGCCGGCGGCAGCAGCGGCCGCCTCGGCGCCGGGTGCAGAGCCGGGGACCGGGGGTGACGCAGCCACGCCTGCGGGCCGAGAGACTGTTCCTGTGGGAGCAAGAGAGCCCAGTCAGGGGGCTCCACGGCCGCCGTCCCCCCACACCCCAGTGCCCCTGGGGCTCACCTGCACTGGTGGACGGGGCCGCGGCCTCTCCAGAGCTCGGGGGAGGCGGGACAGGTGGGAAGGGAGCCATGGGGGGCCACAGCGGAAACATGCCCGGAGGGAAGGGGGGCAGGAGGCCGTGGGGAACTGCAGAGAAGAGGGGGAGGTGAGGGCCACAAAGGGACCCACCCATCAGGCTGGGTGGCCTGCGTTGCAGCACTGATCACCCCCCAACCCCCACCCTGCGCCCCCCATGCACAGACCAAGCTGGAACGTAGGGACTCGTCCCCTCCCCCGACCCCCGAGACCCAACCGAGGGCAAGAACTCTACAGTGTGCTGGATGACCGGAAGGCAGGGAAGGCACTTACAATTGGGGGGCTGGGGCAGAAGGGGCGGGGGGTGGGCGGCAGGAGGCGGCCCCTGGTCTGCAGGTTCGGGGGGTGCTGGCGACTGGGTGGGCAGTGAGGCCCGCAGGACGTCCATGCGGCAGGTGGGACAGGTTTGCTGCCGCTGGAACCAGGAGCGCAGGCAGCTGCGGCCAGAGCAAGGTGCAGGTCAGTGGGGCCTGGGGTGCTCCCCCGCAGCCGGCCCTGGTGACCTCCCGCGGCCCACCTGGTGTGGAAGATGTGGTTGCAGGGCAGCCTCTTGGCGCCGGTCACCATCTCCTCCCGGCAGATGATGCAGACGTTGTCCATGGCCTGCAGGTCCTCGGGGGTGGCGTCGGGGTACCTGGGGCCAAGTGGCAGGTGAGCGGCCGGCAGGAGGCGGGGAACGGGGGCGGGCAGCTGGGGAGGGAGGGGTGCGTACTCACAGCGTGTTCATGTTGCGAATGGCCCGGCGTGACATGATGGCGTCCGTCACAGCTTTCTTGAACTGCCTGGAAGGACAGTGACCGTGACGGTGGGAAGGGGCGGGGCCCAGGGCAGGGCCGGAAGGGGCGGGTCTCACCTCATGGCCAGGTACATGGGCCGGATGGCGAAGAGCGGGAACGTGTGCACCTTGATCATGATGGTCATGAAGGCCATGTACAGCAAGACCTTGATGAAGCCTGCGGAGATGGAGTGCGGCCGTCAGGGGCTGGTGGGGAGCGGGTGAGGGCGGTAGGGGTTTCCTGGGGCTGTTCCCACCTGTGAACAGCTCCGTGTACAGCATGTACACGGCCTTGTTGTCCCAGGGGTTGTCGCTCTGCAGGTCCACGCTGTGCAGCACATACTTGATGAAGATGGTAAGCACCATGGTCATCAGGATGGCGTACTGGAGAGCAGCAACGGGAGGTGAGCACGCTGCCCCCGGCTCCAGCTCTGCTCTGCTCCCCCGGCAAGGGTGGGTGGCACAAGCTGGGGCTGGGACGTGGCGCTGCCCCAGTCACGGGCGGCCAAGGGCTCAGGACGGACCTGGCATGCAGGAAGCACCCACAGCCCAGAGAGTCCATCACCCGTGGCCAGGGCCACCCCTGCACCCCGCGGTCCATCACGCTAGTTCCCTCCTGTCCCGGGTACCCGCCACCTTCCCACCAGCCTCCCCGAAGGCAGCTCTCCGAGATGAGCGCCAGAGCGGGTGCATGGCCTGGGGGCCAGCCTCGCCGCCCCCCTCCCCAGCCTCACCTCAAAGCCAAACACCAGCTGCACGGAGGCGCCCCGCGTCAGGATGCTGTGGTAGGCGTGGCTGACGAAGAAGAAGTCCAGGACGCCCAGCAGGCACATGAGGGCTGTGGGGACCCCCAGGGGAGGGGGTGGGGAGGGTCAGTCCGGGCCTGAGAGCCACTTCCTCTTCTAAGCCAGAGCCTACCCTCAAGGCGCCAGGGCCCAGGCATGGTGGGTGCGCTTCGCTGAGTCCGCCCCCCTCCGCCCCAACCCGGGAAGGGGGGCAGCCCAGACTCCGGGTGCCTAGGGCTGCCGCCCCGACAGTTGCAGAGCCTTGGAGTGGAACAGGGCAGACAGGATGCAAATCAACTTCCTAAATTATCTTTCCTGTCCACCTGCGCCCCGGGCCTGCCCGGAGGGGGCCGGCGGCTCACTCACACACGATGCGGCAGTGGAAGAGCCAGGAGATGTTGGGGCTGCGCTCCATCTGCGGCAGAATTGGGGGGGGGGGGCGTGGCGTCAGGGAAGGCCAGGGCTCCCGCCCCAGAGCCCCCCAGGTCCCCCCAGCCCACTCACGTAGTCCACACGGTCCTCCGCCAACCAGTGAAAACACTTGAGGAAGAGGAGGAGGGTGAAGAGCGCCACGAAGCGGGGGCTGAAGTCGTCCCGAAAGACGGTGAAGGCCAGACACGTCTCGGTGACCGCATACCAGGAACGTTCCAGAAGGTGCTGGGGGGGTGGGCAAGGACTCCGGTAGCTGCAGCCATCCTGCCCGCCCGGCTCCCCGGTGCTGCCCCGGGGGTCCCACGCCCCTTACCTCCATCTCTGCCGCCCGCAGCTGCCCGAAGAACACCTTTCCCATCACCTTGCCCAGGAGGAAGACCAGCACGAAGGCCTGGATGTACAGGACCTGCGGGCGCCGGCTGAGGTCACCCTCGGCCCTGCCCGCCCTGGCACCGCCCACCACCTCATCATCACGGTTTATTCAAAGTGGGGGGCCCCCCTGGGCTCGCACTCACGGCCATGCTGGGGCTGGACTTGGTCAGGTACACCACAGTGGGGTAGAACTGGTGCTTGAGGTAGTAGGCGTGCGCCACCACGGCCCCGGTCAGTGCCATGCTGGCCGCCATCACCACGGCGGTGCGGAACATTGCCCCGGCCTGGGGACCTGCGGGGCACAGGGCCGGGAGGGAGAAACAGCTGGAGCCTCGGAGGACCGGACGGGGCGCACTGCTCCACCCCCCCAGCGCGCGGGGCTGAAACGCGGCGGGCAGGAATAGGACAGGGGGGGAAACCCCAGGGCCCGAGCCGTGTGGTCCGTCAAGCATGACAGCGGCCAACCCATTTTGCAGACGGGCAAACTAAGGCTCGGCGGGCTTTACAGAAGGGCAAGCGCACCGCCCCAAGCCCCGGGCCCGGGCCCGTCTGGTTTCAAATTGAGAGGCTCTTTCGCTGTCGGCCGAGTGGCCACTTGCTGGGGGCGAGGGGATGGGGGGCGGGCCGAGAAACGGCAGCGAGCCGAGGCGGGGGTAATGCCCGGCAACATCCGAGCCGAGCCGCGGCGGGCAGCGACCCCCGACGCGGGGAACCGCCGCCGCCTGGGCGCCCGGGGACGGGGGACGGCGCATTCCGGACAGGCGACAGCGCCGGCGACAGCCCGGCCAGGATGGGCGGCCAGGGGGGGACGCGCGCCCGGCGGCAGCGGGCAGGTACGTCAGCCTGGAACCCTGGCGACCCCGGCGCCCCCTCCCCCAGCAGTGTCCACTCTTCGGGGCCCCGGAGAAACGGCCGCCCCGCTGGGTGCCGCGGCGGGGCCCCGGGTCGCCCTCGGGGCTGCGCGTCCCAGGCGGCCCCGGCCGGGGCCCCGCGTCCGCCTTGCGCGGCCGCGCCGGCGCCCCAGGTCTGCAGGCAGCTGACAGGCGAAAGCGGGCGGCGGGCCGGAGGGGGCGCGCCGGGCCGCGGAGACGCCGAGCGGGGGGCTGGGGGTGGGCGACCCGGGCTCCCGCCGCCTCGCACCCCCCGCCGGGCCCGACCCCGACCCACTCACCCGGAGCCCGGCGCCGCGAGCCCACTCGATCCCCGCGACTGCGGAGGCGGCTCCGGTTAACAACACTGCCCACCCCCTGCCGGCCGGAAGTCGGGCCGAGACACCTCACTTCCGGCGGCGCGGGCGCGGCGCGGCGCCTACCAAGTGCGCGCGCCCCCCCCGGCCGCGCCCCCGGCCCCCCGCGACCCGGATGGGGCCGCCACCATCCGCGGGGGCTCGGCGGGACGCAAGCGCGAGACCCGAGAGGCGGCCGGAGCGGAGCGGGGCGGCCGGGGTGGCGGCGCGGTTCCGACCCGCGCCCCCCCGGGCTTAGTGCCACAGTGGTACCGTCCGGGCGGCCGGGTGGCTTCGACCGAGCGGCGGACCCGGGCCGGGCCGGGGGGTGGGGCCAGCGCGGGTCGTACCACTCGGAGGGGGGCGCGTGCCAGGGACAGACCTCTCAGGACTGAAGGCAATAACATGTTTTCGGGACCCCCCATCTCCCCTCGCAGCAGTTTCATTAGCGACGCGCTTTTCCGGGGACCAGGACTCAGGAAAAGAAGCTCCTGCTTCCTCCAGGGTCACCCCCCGAACTGTGTAGGAGTGAGTTGGGTCCCCGTGGCCGCTTCTGATTGGTCCGGATAGAGTTACGCGGACCAATGGGAGACAGGAGCGCCCCGGCGGGCCTATCGGGGAGGAGAGACGCCGGGAACGGTTGCTAGGGGAGGAAGGATACGCGCCCGGACCGGGCCGGCTCGCTGGGAGCCGCCGAGGCCGAGCATCCCCACCCCCACCCCCACCGGCCGTGGTCACAGTCTTCTGCGGGAAAGGTTTGCTGCGTCACGAAACGGAGGGCGGCCGGCGGCGGGAGGGAAGACGGACTTTCAGTTCCGGAGAATTCCGAGAAGCCAGTGTTCCCTGCAAAAAGATCGCCCTCCGCGCCGCGTGCTGTCACCCCTCTGATAGGGGGAGCCCCCAGATCTCCTGCCCTCTGTATTGTTCCAGGGGACGCAGCCTCCGCTTCCAGTGCTCATAGGATGCGTCCAGAGTTTCACTCCGCGTCTCTGTTGCTGCCCAGTCCGTCCGCGCGTGCACCGAATGGAACCGATGCGCCACTCGGTGCCTTGCTTTGCCCTCCATCGGCTCAGAGCCCGCAGTTCCTGGGGTTTCTGAGCTACGTGGTGCTCTCTTTCCAGAAGAGAGATCCTGGACTCGGATGGGCATTGGCTACCTGATCCCGTTTTTCTCTGTCTCTCACTCTCTCGGTTTTTGAGTCACACCTGGTGATGCTCAGGGATCTCTCTTGGCAGTGTTCAGGGGACTATGTGGAGTGCCGGGAATCGAACCTGGGCTGACAGCATGCAAGACAAAGTGCCTTACCTGCTGTGCTGTCGTTCGATCTCCCATTCTTGGGCTTTGGGGCTCAACCACCACCTGTTGATCTGAATTGGCTTGGCTGGGTTCGCCACGGGGCTGTCTCCTCGCCGTGACTATATTCAGCCGGCAGCTTTTCCTCCTCGCCTCACTGCCCCTCTCCCGGAACTCTTCCTCCCTGAGCAACTGTGATCCCCAAATTCTTCAATTTTTTCCTGGGTGTCTGGGGCCAGCGTGATAGAACAGAAGGGAGGGCATTTGCTTTTGGTGTTCTTTTTTGTTTCTTCGGGGGGAGGGCCATGCTGCGTGGTGTTCAGGGCTAACTCCTGGCTCTGCACTCGGGTCACCTTGGCAGTGCCCAGGGGACTCTATTAGGTGCATGGCGTGCATGGCAAGTGCCTAACCCAACTTGCTGTCTCTGGCCTGGTGCCCACTTTAGCCCCTTCTGCCAGCTTTCCCTGAAGGAACCTCTCTTGACTCCGGGGGTTCAGTACCCCCTGCCCTGTTGTTGGTGTTTGCCCCATTTGGTCTTCACCCCACTCCAGAAACACAGGTGTCACGTTCACCACCTCCCTCTCTAACTTTCCCTATTCCAAACCAGTACCCCCCACATCTATTCATTTGTTTTCAAATAAGTACTGGGGCAACCAGTACCCAACACATCTATTCATTTGTCTTCAAATAAGCACTGGGCACATACGTGTTACTGGTACATTGGATATCAGTGGACAGAGGAGAGCTCTGCCTTTGGAAAGCTTCATCCTTGTGGGGGAATGACTCACAACTCCACGGTAGAAGTAAATTTTCTGGTGGATCGGAACAGAAGTGCTAAAGGGAAGGACAGCGTAAAGGAGGTGGGAGGGCGGGCACCCAGCAGAATGAAACGGAAAACAGTGTTTGAGCAGACACAGTGATGAGGTGAGGTAAGTGGAGTGGAAGCTAGGCGAGGCTGGGCCTGGCTTTGGGTTAGGTGAGTGTGAGAGGAGCATAAATAACTTGAGGAGGGGGGGCTGGAGCGATAGCACAGTGAGTGGCGCGTTTGCCTTGCACGCGACGGACCTGGGTTCGATTCCCAGCGTCCCATATGGTATCCTGAGCACCGCCAGGGGTAATTCCTGAGTGCAGAGCCAGGAGTAACCCCTGTGCATCGCCGGGTGTGGCCCAAAAAGCCAAAAAAAAAAAATCACTATCACTGCCATCCTGTTGTTCATCGATTGCCTCAAGCAGGCCCCAGTAACATCTCCTTTGTCCTAGCCCTGAGATTTTAAAAAGTGCCACATTCGAGGCTCTTTCAGGGTCAGGACAATGAGACCCATCGTAGTTACTGGTTTTTGGCATATTGAATGTGCCACGGGAAGTTTGCAGACTCTGTCGTGTGGGCAGGATACTTTTGGTAGCCTGCCAGGTTCTCCAGAGTAAGAACTAGGTAATAAGATGTTGCAGGGCCGCTTTTGCGGCCACGTACTTCCGGAGCAGGTTTTTATAGTCTCTGGGTCTTGGCCATTGATGGGATTACACGGTGCTGGGGGCAGTTGGTGGGTGTAACGCCTACATACTGAAAGCTGGGGGATCTGGGTGGAGGAGGCCCAGTCCCAATCCGAGCAGGCTTGGAGATCTACGTGCCTGGCTGTCCTCACCAGGGCCCCTTGGGAAAAAAAAAATAACTTGAGGCTAGGCCCAGAGTCATAGTACAGCACGTAGGGCACTTGCCTTTCATGTGGCCGACCTGGGTTCAATTCCCGGCATCCCATATGTTCTCCTGGACACCTCCAGGAGTAATTCCTGAGTGCAGAGCCAGGAGTAAGCCCGAGCCTTGCTAGGTGTGGCTCAAAAACCAAAAACCAAAACCTGAGGCCCAACGGTAGGGGATGGGGCAGGGTCAGAAAGCTGGGTTATGATAGGACTTTGGTCCGGAGTGACATTAAGAGCTGTGGGCAGGAGGGGTGGAGATTTCTGAATCCCATCATTTCCAGTTTTAGCAGCCTATTTAAAATTTTAGAATCCTTGAAGAAATTTCATACTGTACTGCACTTATGTACCAAGAGTACCACACCACATTTGATGGGGTTAAGGTAGAAGGCTATCGATCTTAATCCTAAAATAAATAAATATTAGCACACAAGGGCTGGAGCGGTAGCAAGCGGGTAGGGCATTTGCCTTGCACGCGGCCAACCCGGCCAACCCCAGTTCAATTCCTCCGCCCCTCTCGGAGATCCCAGCAAGCTACCGAGAGTATCTCGCCCGCATAGCAAGGCCTGGCAAGCTACCCGTGATGATATGTGACACATCGAATATCGATATGCCAAACACAGTAACAACAAGTCTCACAATGGAGACGTTACTGGGCCTGCTCGAGCAAATCGATGAACGGGAGGACAGTGCTAGCACACAAAGCTCAACATGTAACAGCATATTAATAATCTCTTATATGAGGGCTTACTGGCTCTAGAGTGAGGTACAACAACCTTCACACATTTTCCCCTAAGAAACTTTTTCAAAAATTTATTCGATTTTATTTTTGTTAAGTTGTTCACAGTAATTCATGACATTTAATATTCAAACACCAATTCCACCACCATTGCACCTTCCCAACACCATATTTCGAATAAGGAAACTTTTTTGGATCATTTTTAATGCATTATTCATAACAAGCCATACAAAATAAATTATTTAGAACCTGCTTTTGGGGGCAAACTTGGGTGGTGGTGGTAGTGGGAAAATTGAAAGTAATTGGTGGGAAGGTGTTACGGTGGTGGGATTGGTGTAGGAATATTGAATGTAACTATTGTGAACAACTTTATAAAAATAAAATTGAGGAGGGGCTGGAGCGATAGCACAGCGGGTAGGGTGTTTGCCTTGCACACGGTCGACCCGGGTTTGATTCCCAGCATCCCATATGGTCCCCTGAGCACCGCCAAGGTAATTCCTGAGTGCAGAACCAGGAGGAACCCCTGTGCATTGCCGGGTGTGACCCAAAAAGCAAAAAAATTTAAAAATTAAAAAAAATAAAATTGAAGGAAAAAAAAGATTCACTACATGCTTGTGTTGGAGTTGGGGCAGGCTGATAGTTTGCTGGAAGAGAGAGAAGGCACCTACGCTACCTCAGGCAAATGGTGAGTCCCTCGCCCTCCTGAGTGGCAGCCCCAAAGGCCCATCCATGCCTCAGCTCACATCTGCCATCCTCCCTACACGCCGTCCTTCAGTCCTTCAGCATAACGCCCTGTGTGGGAAGCCCCAGGTGCGTCGGACATGCCAGGTACACTTTCGTCTAGACCCCACCTCCTTCAGGAACTCTCTCCTCAGGTGCCAGCCCAACTTTTCAGAGCTCCCAGGGCCAAATGGGGCCCCCTCAGAAGCTCCCACGATGCTCTGTGGGTCACTGTGATAGTGTTGGCTCTGGCTTAATCCAGCTCACTCCTTAATCTGAAGGAAGGGCACAATATCTTCTCACACTGAATAAAGTCAAATTCCAAATGCAAAATGCAACATTATTTGGGCTTGGGGTAGAGTCACACTCGGCAGTGCTCAGGGTTTACTCCTGGCTCTGAGCTCAGGGATCACTCCTGGCGGGCTCAGGGAACCACGTGGGGTTCTGGGGATTGAACCTGAGTTGGTCACATGCAAGGCAAATGCCTTCCCTGCAGTACTACTGCTTTGGCCCTTCCTGGATACTTTTTATTTTTTTTCGGTCAAACCCCACGATGCACAGGGGTTACTCCTGGCTCTGCACTCAGGAGTTACTCCTGGCGGTGCTCAGGGGACCATATGGGATGCTGGGAATCGAACCCGGGTTGGCTGCG